ACAGGACGGCCCTCGTGGATTCCGGGAGGGAGGAATGTAAAGTTTGTAGCTTTATGCAAAATTTCAGCCAAGCAAAACGAATAGTCGTTTAAGTATCCCGGTGTCCCTAAAGATAAAATCACCCCCTGAAATAACAATTTCACTTTAGATTTTGCAATACGTACATTTTTTAAAAGATGGTTGCCGTTAGTTTTTATGCAGTAGGCAAGTGGTTCTTTGACCGAGCGGCACAATCTAGCTCCTCGTATTGTGAGTATAGTTTGAAAAATCAAGTGTCCCTTTAATTAATAGCAGTACTGTACGCTATAATACATAGTGTTAAGTGAAAAAGTATTATACATATATTTATTATGCGGAACACAAATGAAACGTTTGGCGGGACCCCGGGGTCCCACCGGGACCCCGGTATCCCCATCTGAAACCGGCTATCAATTTTAGTTGATTTGAAATTAGTATGACTGAACTTGAAGTACCTATTCTTTCTGTTGTGTGTGTGACTTGAAGAACTGCAAGATGGAAGGTTGGTTACTGCGTGGCTTTACGGAAGTGCTTGTCTTCTTATTCAACTTCTTCTTCTTGTTGCTACTGTTGGTGTCACTGGACGTGGCCTTGACATTCTGTAATGACTCTGGTACGTTTGGATAATAGTGCAATGGCTGAGAGAAGTATTTAGCTGATAGTGATTTTAACTTGCTCGCTGATAGCAACTTGACAGGGTGGCGAAGGAGTCGCATGGATGAAAGAGACGCTTCAAAAATTGTCTTGACCGTGGGGCCGAATAGATCCGCCAGAACAGCTTTTCGAACAGCTTCAATGTTTCCAGGGGCAACCATCGAGAAAGAAATAGAGTTTTCATCCGACGTTCCTGCTGTACTACGAGCAGTACAAACTCCACAATCAATCTCAAAAAGGTAGTTTGAGGTGTAAACCCCAGGCGGTGGGATAAAGTATTTGCTCAACAACTCGTTTTAGCCCACATAGAATGATCGATTGGCATCAGTGTGATCTAAAAACACACCCTGTACACTTTTCACCTTGTTCACCTCTTTAATCAATTCTTTTGGTGTATATAAGTTCAATCCTCGAGTTGCCCGTCGACACCAAGCAATAACGCGGTCCGCAATATTGTGAGAGTGTCCAGGTAGTAAATAACAAACTTGTAGGGAAATATCACCGAAAGAAATGAAAAAAACATTAAAACTGCTTTCGATTTGTTCTGCCCCACACAATTGTCCAATATACTGAAGCTCACTTCAGGAGGTGCTACCTCGTTGTGCTTAGCTCGTGATATAATTGAAAGATGGTAGTTCAAGCGTAAGCTACATAGCGCATTAGCATCTTTTCCTTGCGCTCGTTCGTCATAGAAATACACGTTGTTGACACCATTGCTGATGTCTGCCACTACAAAGTTCTGCAAAATGAGATTGCTGGTGAAAATAATTCCGCCGAAGGGCGAACATGACCATAGTATGGGCATGGATATT